CTGTTTTGGGGGGGGGGGAGGGCTAGAATGATTTGATTTTTTCCCAGTTGTTTTGAGTATCCCGTTTGTATTAACTGTCATTTTGTTGGTGTTTTTATTGTGCACCACTCAGAGTCATAGAGTTGGACAGCCTATTGAATTTAATAAAATAAATGAATAAGTAAATTTAAAAAGTATAATGATAAGTTATGCTAAAGCAGGTAATAACAAATGGAACGCCCTAAGTAAACTCTATCATCAACAAAGAGCCACCTTAATTCTTTCTGCTTAGTGCCCCAACAACTGCAAACTATTGGGAGTTTTGGGAAAAAAGGGCAAGATTTAACTGATAACAGAAAATATTTCAGCTACTGTCTACAGACTGACAGATTAAAAAAAACAAAATTATGTTAAATTATTTAAACGCTCAATAAAGTTCTCACATGCCTTTTCCACAGCCCAAAATTATGCAAAGGATAAAGCATTACCAGTAATTTAGGCTCTTTTTGTCTAGTTAAGAAGGCTTGAAAAAACTAACGTGGTTTGGGAACTTCTAGATTTTTAGTCTCCAATTATGTAAGCACCCAATTCCAAAATTAATCATGCTTACATTATTTGCACAAACTAACCTTTGCAATAATCTGCAGGATCTTCTTGCTCTTCATCATCAGATCCCAGAATTTCTTCCTCTGGCTCTGGTGGTGTTGGTTCTGGCAAAGGTGGAGGAGGAGGTGGAGGAGGTGGTGGTGGTGCAGAGGGAACTTTTTGCTGAGGCTCTGGCCTATAAATGAAAAAAAAATTCAGTAAATAAAATGCTTGAGCAAATTCCAAGAGCTTAGCCACTAATCTTTTCTTGACTTTTTATTCAATAGTTTGCAAACTTAAATTCCTTATGAAAGACCATAATTTACTCTGTGTGGGCTACAAAAATGACTCTGAAAATGTTATGGAACACGGCAAGATTAAAAAACAACAGCAGGCTGGTACAAAATGAAGGACTTAAAACACACACATACATATAAAGTCAGACCAAAAGATGAGGGAAAGCCACTGTCTCTGTTCCTGACCTGGTCAGTGTAAGCTACCAGCCTTTTGACTAAATGGTGCCTCTGCTGCTTTATTTCAAGATGTGAACCTTTTTCACATTGCTCTAAAACACAGCAGCAAACTCTGTTATAAGAAATTGAACAGATATCACTTAAGTTTGCATCTGTGTGTGTGCGTGTGTGCACACACAATTAGAATTAAATAAAACTAATGATTTTTTTAAAAATGTCCATGACCCATGCTCTGGTATGGCTGAACTGCATTATCTCATATGCCAAACCATGTCTGATTTCCTGTTATTATATAGCAGGTTTCAAGTAGTTTTGAAATCCAAGGTACATGAAGCTTAACTTGTTTCCTTAGAAAACTCATGCTCAAAATAAGGGAATCCTCTGTAAGAAACTCCATTACAAATACTGTAATTAAATACTAACAAAACTTGTTGAGGGGTGCTACAGGCAATTATATCTCATTAACCTTTTATTTAATAGTGTTAACATAGCAATATCAGTTTGGCTGTCTTGATTAGACAGGTCTTTGGCAGGGATCACATGGTCCCCCAGATATTTTTGGCATTCAACTCCATTCAGCCCTAGATAGCATAGGCAATGGTCAGGGATTATGGGATTTATAATCCAACAATCACAGATGACTACCAATTCCATTGCCCTATTTGGTGTTTATTCTACCTGACAAACTTGATGAGAGACCAAGTAATAACAAAGGATGATACAGGTAGTCCTTGTTTAGTGACCACAAATGGGACAGGAAACTTGGTTGTTAAGCGAAGCGATTGCTAAGTGAAACCACGACTGTGCTTATGATCTTACTTCAGCTTGCCTTTGCTTTCAGGCTTGCGAAGGTCATAAATGTGAGGATTAGTCATAAAGTTACTTTTTCATCACTGTTGTAACTTCAACCGTCACTAAATGAGGCAGCCACTAAATGAAGACTATCTGTAACAGCACATAACACCCTTCCCTAACCAGATCATCTCCAATGTTGGGGTCCACTGCTCTCAGAATTCTCTGCCAGCATAGTCAACTAAATTGGGGAATTATCAAAGCAACACACATATTATGTGTTTTCAAATTGGAACATAACTCTGGCTTCAATCTCACAATGAACAGATGAAAGCACAGTTACTCTTCATATATCACACTATCTAAAAATGGGGAAAGCAAGGATTATGCTAATGCTATCAACATCAATGATTCCTACTTTCTTGTTTGAAGAAAATAAATTTGCTTTTTCAGCTTAACCTACGCATGTCATTTATCATAAGGCCATAACTAGAAACCACATTTTAATGCTGGTTCCCAATTATGGGTTGTATGGGAAATATATACTATAATATGTTGCTTTTGATGAAACTGCAAACCATATTTTTCTTCAAAGCCACAGAAGAAAGGAGAAAAAGGAATGCCTAAGACTTCTTAAAGGCTTGCTTTGATAATACTAAATTATTGTTTAGAATATGTGAGCCCACCAAATGAAGAATTTTCGAATCATCTAAAATTTCCAGTCAGTTTTGTAATATTGTTTTTTATTAAAACTTAAAATAAAAGTTGAAATGGAGACAATCAGTTGCACATCTTCATACACTGATTCAGATTTAAACAATGAATGAAGAAAAGAAGTGGTAGCAAAAGTCTAAGGATAAAAGTGAGAGATAAAGACCACAAAAGAATACAACGTTATGAAGATTAACTTGATCAAGGCTTACCTAATTTAACTACATTTTAGGTTGAGTCCTGATTATGCTGCCTGCCTAATCCTTAGGATTTAAAGGTACCACCTCCAATAATCTGAACCCTGGACTTTATCTGTTCCCCCTGCTGTAACATCTGATGTAACTGGCCTGTTTGACTCCATTGTTTTGTCCCAGGAGAAGACATCCCCACTTTCTCTAAGATTTGTAACAGATAAAAAAATAGTATTTTGTTCTAATAATGTTCCTCCTCTGAAGCAGTTGCCCTTCAACCCTTTTTTCATAAAGCTAACCTTTTCTAATTCTCCAGCAGCATCTCTTGCTTTAGTATGAAAAAGGCTTATACAATGGAAATATAACTAACAATATCAACCTATGAAAAGCAGAAGTCTGAAAACTAAACTAGACTAATGGAGAACAGAACATAGCCTTAGGATAAGCAACCAATTCATTGATGCAGGCCATTCATAAAACCTTGTCATCTATAAATTATTAGATGAAAAACCGCTCCACGCATTTTAGCAGCAAACTGGCAGATAGTCCAAACAGACACGGTTTTAAACTTTTTGCTTAATGCAATTAACACAGAGACTTATCTTTTAACCCAAAAATCATGTTTCTGCAATCAGATATTTTTAAGCAACCAAAGGTAATACTCATTTTTTCCCTGCATAAAAAATGAGCAACAATATCAAAATAACAAAACGGAACTTAAATTTTCTACTATACTGCAATGTTACTATGGCAACTGGCTTAGATCTCTATTCATATCACCAAGTACCAGAGACAACGTTAGGTAAATGAATATTGGCTCTAAGTGTTTCTTTCAGCAGGAAAATCTTACTAAGAAAGCTTCTAAATGAAGGTTCTGCTTAAGGTGACCTTTGGTACCTAGAAAGATAAATCACTATACATCAATTTAGTTTGCTGTTAACAAATACTAACACAAAACAACGTTTTTATTGGAGTATTATTATCCTTTTGTTGAAAATAGGCTGAATATTAATTGCATTCGTTGCAAATAAAATTGTACTAAAATACAAAACTGGTCACCTTCATATTAACATAATACAGCATGGTGCAAATAAAGTACCTGTACTCTCCAACGAGTATTTTGAAAATATTGCCCTGTTCTTACGCACATCACATTAGTTTCCATTTAGTTTCAACAAAGTGCCTATTCTTTCTTAGAGCAGTTTAAACTATTCAAAGCAGTGCAGACATTAGCAAAAGGGAAGATTACATATTTAGGTTCTCATAGGAGATGGCACATTGGATAAGAAAGCCTATTCTGTGCCATGTCTATAGGAACAGAAATGCCAGAAAGAGTGAGAAATTCTCACACACACACACATATACTACTAAAACTCTCATTGTGTTTATCTGTACCCTCAAGTTAGCCCAAACGATGCATTATACTGCAACAATTTTTGAATCAAGGTACCTAAAATCAGCTAACTTAAAGAATGCAGGAAAAATTTGGGACACATTAGTCCTGTGGAATTGAAATTTCCACAATGTGCAGACCAGTTTATTTGCAAAGTTGTGGCTGTTGCAGCAGCCATATGATTGTTCTTTCCAACACTCCCTGCCAGCTTCCCACAAGCAAAGTCAGTGGGGAAGCCAGCAGGGAGTCAGAAGTCGCCCCCACTCCGACTGCTTTTTTGCCCACCCATGGTCATTCTGTTTATCTGTTTAGGTGAGTAAATATTGATTTATTATTGAAGTTTGTCCCTACAATTATTTTTCTATTTATGATATATACTCTTCTTAGATGATCACCAGACTGTCCAGCATTGGGGTAAAAAAATATGGTCAGCCCAAAATTTAATGTTCATTCTGGTCGCATCAGACTATACTATCTTTCAAAGGATGACCCAACAGGTCACAGGGTTGTCTAGTGTGTATGTGTGTATATGTATTTAATTTAAATCTCTTGGCACACATGCTGGCTAAATCCTGACTGTTGTCACGATGATTTTTAAGTCCTGAGCCTCACTGTTTATGTTGAGATGTCCCCCCCCAAAATTATCTAGAGTTCTGTACATAAAATCTGCACTAAAAATAAAGAAAACAGTGCTGAGGGTGATTAAGAAGTTGCAAACATATTTCCTTCAGAGAAATATCTACATATTTCAGATCATATTATCATGCTATTTCAGAAAGGTGTGTTCAAAACAAATAGCTCCAGAAGACTCTTTCTCACGAGCCAATAATACATAAGTAAAGGAAACAACTAGAATTGACCTGGAGGAACAAAATATGCAATCAAGGCAGGCCCTAGCAAAACTTATCCTCTGAGTAATTCCTAAGGGTAATATTGTTAGGTGCAATCCCTCACCATCCTACCTCCTGTTTCCAGTTCTAACATGCTAAAACTACAGGATATGTTGCTTCAAAAGCAATGGAGTCTAGCTAAAAAGTGAGAGAGAAAAAAATCATCAAGTAAACCAATCAATATTTTGTCTCTTAGAAAATATCTGATTACCAGAACACTCCTATACAGCTTCACTTAATTTCACACAAATTAAATGAGATTTACTTCCACATAAGCATTTGTAGGATTGCTGTCAAAGTACAAGTAGCAATTTGAAATTATATGTAATAGATCAGTTTCTTTAAAGCATTCCACATTGTTTTGCAAAATCACCAAAATTAAATCTAAAGAATATGTGAATATGAATTAAAATGGTAAACTATTACATTGAAAAGAAACTAATATCAGCTATAGGTAGTCCTTGCTTAGCAATTGCCTCTTACAACTAACATTCACAGGTTATGATGGTGATGAAAAAGTAACTTTATGACCAATCTTCACTTTTACAACCTTTGCAGGCCTGTAAAGCAAAGGAAAGCTGAAGTAAGATCATAAGCACAGTTGCCGTTTCATTTAGCAACCACTTTGCTTAACGACTGAGTTGCTGATCCCAATTGTAGTCACTAAATGAGGACTTCAAAACTCCTAACTTACTCTAAAAAGATTTTTTTTTTTTTGCAGTCACTTCAGAAACATTAGTCTTAAA